AGAGAGAGAGAGAGAGAGAGAGAGAGAGAGAGAGAGAGAGAGAGAGAAGGCAGATAGTTAGCTGAGCAAGTCACTCAGGATCACTGAAAGCAACATCACAGTAATCATAGTGATACATTACACCTTGTTGCATAAAATGCTCTTTAGATACAAGTTTGTCATATTTCTCCATTGCACCACTGCAGGTAATATCAAGTAAAACTATTAACTATTTTTTTAAAAAGACATCAAGTAAGACATCAATCTCAAGACATAGTGGAATGCAAGACGGTTATAAACTGGTGTGATCCACATTTGAGTAACTATATAGTACTATAATTTGCCTCCCTGGCCATCACATACAAAATATCACTCGAGGAGACACGTACCAACCAGGAGACTCAAAATGACCACAACGAAGCATAAAACAACTACAAGTTGGCACAAAAAGACGACAGTGAAGCCAAAAGAACTGCAAAGAGATGCACAATAACTGCAAAAAGACCACAAAGAGACCACAAGCAGACTCAAAACAACTATGAAAAGGAGTAAAAACACACACAAAGGAACACAGAATGACCACAAAGAGACACAAAACAACCACAAAGAGACACGAAATGACTACAAATAGGGGTAAAATAACCACAGAAAAAAACCCTACAAAAGGACCAAAACATCTACCGAGGGATGCAAAACGACTACAAAGAGACACAAGACAACAACAGACAGAGGTTTAACAACTATAAAGTGGTGGGCCTTTTGTGTATTTGTACCCAGGGGCCAAGTGTCTCATAATCCGCCCATGACTGTATACACAATATGAGTTTTCGGGCAGATCCATCCTTTATGAAGGCTGTCGTATTCATGGAGGAACAGTGTTCTCTAGTGGCCGATGGGACTCACTGTTATTCTATGGCGGCATGCCACACAGTCTGAATTCCACAGTCTAGCATTGATGCTCTAGACACTAAACCCGTCAAATACTCATCACTTGTGTTCCTGATCATGATTATGTAAGTCAAAGATTTCACAATTAGACATTTTATGGATGACCACAACAAGATGTGTCAGTTCTCTGTGCCAAACCAGTGTGCAGTTTCTTCATAGGTTGGATGTTTGTTTGTTGCAGAGCGCTGCAACGTGCACGTTATCAGACACAACTCCTTAAACACAATAACTCCAAAAAGACAAAAGTCAACCACCATATGGGCATTCTGTGGACTTCTTTGGAGGCCAAATGTGGTGGCCAGGCTGTGTCTTGTGCAGCTTGTTTTAATCTAGAAACTGCTGTATCGGAGAGATTATATCAGATTTGGAGTATGTGAGATCAGATGTGAGTTCATGAGCCAGACTTGGAGGACAGTGTGTGTGGTTTACCTACTTTCAGGTATGCACTGGCCCATCACAAGCCTGAATCCGTCACAGCATTTCCTCCTGAAAAAAAAAACAAGAAGTAATCAGACGTTTGCATTTCTATCGCCATTTCAAACATCAGCGGGGGCCAGCCCATCTGCTTATCGTCATTAAAGGGAGAGTTTGACATTTTGGGAAATGCTTATTTGCAGTCTTGCCGAGAGTTAGATGACAGGATTGATACCACTCTCACGTTTGTGTAGAAAACATGAAGCTGCAGCCAGCAACCGGTTAACTTAGCTTAGCATAAAGCCTGGAAACAGAGGGAAACGTCTGGCAAGGCTCTTTCCAAAGGTAACAAAAGGTATCCCATACCAGCACCCATTAATTACCATGTTACATCTTGTTTGATCTGTTCCAAAACCGAAATGCAAAAACCACATTTAGCAGATTTAACAAGAGGTTACGTGGCTCTGTCTTGGTCGGAACCATTTGCTAGGCGACCAGCGGAGTTGTGTGCTTTGTACCGGAAAATAAAATTCAAGAGATATAGAGCAAATACTATACACTGTATTACCACACTGACATTATGTCACTACTTTGTGACTTCATTAATGTAGTCCCATGATTACAAGTTGCTAAATTAGGTCAGTGATAAAACAGATTAAACCAGCCTGATTATATGTTGATTCTTTATTTACAAACTAACAGTTCGTGCTGAGAGGTCCTGAGGTCACAGGTGCCGCAACCAGTAACCACCTGGCAAAGAGGCGACCACGCCTAACCAATTTTCACACGACACGGAGGGTCAAATCTAGCAGGCTTTTTCAGCCCAGTTGGACCCAAACAGAGTTTAATCATGTTGCAAGAGAAGACCAGGCCGCATGTGCTTGAAACTATAATCATGAGAAAAACTTCAAAGATGAGTCTGATAAAGCTGAGTGAACCAAGAGGGCAGTGTCAAAATATGCTTAGCAAAGTAGCACCAGATATCTCTGTATTGCCAGACCATTTACAGAATACATAAAGGAGGCTTCCGTCAACACCACAGAGGTTTAGTTTGACGGACTGCAGGATAATGACACCATTAGCCAAGATTAAAGACTTGTCTCCAACTGCTGCACCGACTGCACACCGGCTGTGGATTAAAGCATTTCAGACCAATTATAGGTCATGGACAGGCATCGCAATCGGTAAGCCCAGTTAACATAATTCGTATTAGTGGCCTACAGTACATCACAACGTGATAACTGAGAGAGGGCCCACATCACTATTATTATTACAAACAATGTCAAAATTCATCTTTGTAAATTCATAGAAAAGGTTGTTGAGCCAGGCTTTATTATAAAGGAACTGCAGCCAGACTATATAGTTCAGTAGATGCAGTATATTTTTTAACTGCAGCATTGCGCAATGAATATTGGGAAACAATTTCTACCCCAAATTAATTTACGGTGTTTGGCAATAACACTCGTCCAGCCATCCTGCAGCAATCCACCACATATTACACACATTACAGTTGGAAAAACAGAGAGGAGATGGCTCAGAGATTGGAGCAGCATAGCCACGCAACAAACATCACACACGCACACACACACACACACACACACACACACACACACGCTTTAAGAAAAAGGGGAAGAGTGCATGACTCCTGTCCTAAAAAACCGTATGCTGTTACTGGAGGGGCATTTAGCATGCTGCCTCATTCACGGCCCCCTCAAGACAACAAGTTGCTTTTATTCTCCTCCAGCCTCCATGCAGTGTAAGCCTAAATCATTCTTAGATCCCCCTCCCCCCCCCACTTCCATCTCCTGAATGAAAAATAACCTATAAAATGGCGAGGCCCGGCCTAAACTGATGAGATCCAGATGAGAGCAGCTTGAATCTGCAGCCTGTAGCCGGGAGTGTTGAGAGGGATGGATACGGCCGGGCATGGAGCTGAGGTGGAGACAGGAGAGTGTACGCTGAGATGTCACTCGTTCAGTCAGTCAATCAGTCGATAAATCCATCAATCGGTCATCTCAGTTGGGATAATGCACTGCAGATGCAAGTCTACTGCTGGCCAGGAAAAAAAGTTTATTTCAAGTCGATCTGGTTCTGGTTCTGTGACACAAAAAGTCCAAATTTATATTAAATCAGATCTTTATTCAAGATGACGACCTCTCTTTTCATTTCACTGACACAACAATTCAGGACACAACACAAAAACTGAATTCATCCTGACCATCCTAAACTTTGAGATTGCTAATATGGTTATAACACAATTCTTACTTGTAACCGAATACTCGTTCAACGGTCAGAAAACAAGAGATGCACCGATCAGGTACGCCAGATTGGTATCGATACAGATGAATACTGCAATATCTTAATTTCTTTTACAGATAGATTTGTGCAGGTAGAAGAAAAAAACACTGCATTCAACCAAAAAGAGGGCTGGGGTTTGTGTTAGTAGTCCAACAAGAACCAAGAGAGCAGACTACTTTGTATTACTGATAAGTTTAAAACAGGAAATGCATTCAATAATCTGTGCGGGTGAGTTAACAACAGTAAGAGCCTTCAGTCATGCTAGTGCCTTCTCACGCATTACTCTTAACCTGCTTGCCCACTTTTATTGTTTTGGTTTTGGATGGTGCGGTTCGCAAACCAGCTAACGAAACTTCACACAAAGCGGACTCCATCGCTGATGCTCAGCCACTGTTCTGCTGCCAGGGACAGTTATTCCATGCTTTTAAACTGTGCATCAACCCCACGTTTACACAAGTTATTGTCAGAAAAATAGACTGAATAAACTCTTCAACTTGCGGTTACGTCCGTAAGACGGAGCTGGGATGCACGCAGACCTGCACAGAGCCGGTGCAGACAACAGGGTAGATTAAAATGAGACATACGAGATGTGCGTTCGACAAAACACGTCCGATACAGTTGCGGTCTCGACTGGGGCTTAGACAATTGTGGGTTGTGTTCATTCAATCACACGTTACAGCAGGGGTCGTTGCAGACACACCTGGCAGAGATCCGCACTCTACTGAGTGCACCTTTTTAGTTTCCCTTCGGATTTACGGCATTAGACTCGACTGTTACCTCAACTCTGGATCGTACACGGCCTCTGCACATACTTTCAATGCGACTAACCTTTCCCCCACACACTCACACACATCCTAACATATTGAAACACTAATGTAAGTGGAAAAGCATCACAAATTTGCCCATTGGTCAAAAATGCCAAACAAGCTAAAACAGACCAGGGACAGAACCAGGACAGTGGCAGATAGCAGAAAAACAACTCGTATCAAAGATCAACAGAACAGCGAAAACCAACTGATCTCTAGTTACGACACACTACACATGCACATACATCGACAGGCCGTCTGTCAGTCAGAAATGCTGCAGCCTTAGCAGCTCTCCCCCTGGGTGTTAGTGATGGACAGGACGGGGAGGCCGCGGGGCCTCTGGACAAGCAGAAGAGGGTGGAGGGAGAGGTGACCCGTGTGTTTTTGTTTTGAAATGTGAAAGTATGTTGGTCAGACAGGCAACAGGCCCCGGTCAACATGACACGGCCCCTAAAACACAGAGCATCACACTGAGTGGAATCTGACTTATGTGTACGTGTGTAGAGGTTTGTCTGGTGGGTATGTAAGTGGGTGTCTTTTATCAGTATCAATGAAATTGTAGTATTTTGAATGAAATATTGACACAAAAAATATTGGCATAAAATCGGTAACCTACTTTCCAGAACAATCTAACTGTGTGTAAGTGTGTGTGTGTGTGTGTGTGTGTGTGTGTGTGTGTGTGTGTGTGTG